TCTGGTCAAACAGTGAGCTTTTACTTTCACAGAGTCTTACACGCTTGACTTGGACTATATAGAGATGTTGTGACTAATGCCACTCCTCATAACTCACCATACGAAAAAAAAAATGTGCAGCCATGGTACTCCTTTTTTCAGGTTAGTGGTTTGTAGATATTTCATCATATTTTTTAAAACTTCAATATTCACATTTATTTTGAAAAGTATTATTTTTTAAAGGATGCCGTAGGAGCAATCGATGGTACACATATAGCTGCGTATGTGTCTTTAGAGGAGCAAGGTAAATATCGCAATAAAAAGCAAGTGATTTCCCTAAATGTTTTAGTAGCTTGCACTTTTGATACGAAATTTACGTACGTGCTTGCCGGTTGGGAGGGATCTGCACATGATGGTCGATTGTTACGGAGTGCAATATTACGCCAAGGACATAAGCTAACAATTCCTGTTGGTAAGTTCTGTTACTATTTTGAAAACATTTCTTCCACACATAAGTTATAATAATTACCTAACTACCATTGTATGAACGACTCTTTCCTAGGTAAATATTACCTTGTTGACGCTGGCTTCCCATCGGTTTCGGGTTTTCTTGCACCATACCGTAGGACTCGTTATCATCGTAGAGACATTGAAGGTCAACGTCCTGAAAGTAGTAAGGAGTTGTTCAATTTTCGACATTCATCTTTACGTAATGTTATTGAGCGTACAATTGGGTTGCTAAAAAAAAGATTTGCATATTTGAGACATCAACCCTATCACGACATTGACACACAAGCAAAGTAGTCCTTGCCTGTTCTGCCATCCAGAACTTCTTAAGGATTGATGACGTTGAAGATGTTTGTGAGGAGGACGACTTAGATAGTAGTGATGATGAGGTTAACCCTACGCACGTTGATGTACCTGAAGATGAAACTCCAAATGCTCACATATCTTTCACAAATCAGGAAGTGTGGTCTAATAAGAGGAATGTGATTGCTGATTTAATGTGGGCTGATTATCTTCCCAATCAGAATGCGGGAATTGATTTCGATTGAAATCTTATTTTTTTTTTCTATGTAATGGATATAAACTTACTAGACTTTCATATGTAGTAATTGATTGAATTGAAGACGTATTGATATTAAGCATATTTTTTGTTTTTTTTTCCCATATCCTGTAATAGTTGACATAAGATTGCTAGAATTTTAAATATTGTAATTGGAATTGTTGTTATTGGAGACATTGTTGACATGCAATTTTCTTAAATGTTCTTATTTATTAGTTGACCGTAAACAATTAATCTTGCACTATACAATTCATGGCAAATATTCGACAAAGCTCTGCGGCACCTTTTCGAGTTCCTAGACCAACCCTTCATTTAGATGTGGAGGAAATAAGCTCAACCCAAGCGGATCCTAATTCTAGGAATCGTCAAATACGTTGGAGTGATGCAATGGACGGTTGTATGATAACTGCACTATTACATCAAGTGTTGTCTAGTCACAAAAGAAGTGACAATGGCTTTTCATCATTTCACGTGTCCAAAGCAATCGAGAGCGTGCACAATGGATGCGGAGTGATGGTGTCTGATAAGAATGTGAGGGCGCGATTGAAAACTCTAAAAAAAGAATATGTTGAAGTTCGTTAGTTGTTAAGCATGAGTGGTTTTGGGTTAGATCCTCACACTGGACGTGTCACAGTCGATGTACTAGCTTGGGTGGAGTTGTTGAAGGTACAAAATTTCATTGACCAATATTACTAATATAATTTATGGTGCCTCCTAACTAGCATAAAATATATTTCACTCTTTTTCTTGTAGGGCAAACTAGAATTTGGAAAGTGGAGGACCAAACTTTGTTCTCGTTATGATGATTCGGAGGCTATTTTTGGAAATGATTCTGCTACAGGAGATCGTGCTGTAACCGGAAATGACATTTTATCCCCCGATCATGGTACGTACTAGATCAGACATAAAAATTTATATAATTTGTATTATATTAGAGATTCTAACAATTTCTTATTTTACTATTTTTTAAATGAAACTGTGCATGAAATTGATGGTCAAAATGAGGATGCAGATCCAAGCCCCATTTGCGCTCCTAAGCGTAATGCCGAAGGAGGAACTAACAAAGTTCGTCGTCGACATACCCAACCTAATGATGAGAGTCTTGTTGCCCTATCAAGCATTGCCGAATCATTCAAGAAAATTGCTATCGCTATGGAGACTCAAGCAACATTAGATACGCTAAACCACATCAATTGGCAGTTGGTTCTAGAAAAATTACAAGGCATGCGTATAGAAAAGCGTGACATAATGCAAGTAATGAAAATATTTCGATCGGATGAGAGTCTGGCTAGAGTATTTATGAGTTTGACTGATGAAGAATTCATGCGTGATTTAGTATTTGAGAATCTGGGCCATGATCCGCCTCCATTATTTTAAGATGACTTGGTTGGATAATTTAACAAACATATGAAAGTATGACATCTATGTTGATTTTATTTGCTATTTTCTTATGATACAGATTTTTTGGGTTTTTTCATTTTCGTTTTATGTAATACATTGGAGGAAATTTCATCATTATTTATTGAATTGATTATCCGATTATTATTTATGACTGCAAAGACGAATATGTAAGTGGTAGAAATCTTAATTGTTAGGGATAATTATTTCATCTCGACCGTGTTTCTGCATCTTCCATACCGAATCTTGGCATATTTTTATCCACAAATTAACTGTTATTATGATTGATTAGGATTTGGCCGCATTTATGTCTAAAATTTGTTTAAAATTTGGATCACTCACATTGACAGATTTTCATGGGAAAAAACCACTATTTTCCATGGAAAAAGTGACAATTTTCATGGAAAATAGTGGTTGTCAAACAGACAAAGTTGGAAGAAATGATTATTTCCATGGAAAATAATGGCTATCAAATACCAAAAGTTGGAAAATTGCAATATTTTCTAGGTTGAAATTTAAGTCAATCAAACACGTGTAATTACTATTTTCCATGTAAATAATTTCCAGGCAATTGAATTACCTGGAAAATATTTTCTTTCCATGCAATTTTCCTACTTGCAATCAAACGCACCCTTAGTGTTTTTGGACAGTAATATAGTGTAAGTTTGATCTTATCTTCCAACTTATCAAATCGATGGATTTTGGCCGTTTCTTAAATTTTCTTTAAATTTTACTCTCTATAAAATAATTATTCTTAATCCACATGTACATGTAGCACAACTCTAAGAGTTTATTTATGTTGTACGTTTATTTTTCTAACTTTGTGCTAGAAAAATTGTGAGCGAGAGAAAAATGTTTTATAATTTGATTTTCTTATTTGATAAAGAATTTTTCTCCTATGATTGTCGACGATTTTTTAGATAGCAGTTGCTTAGTATTTTTATCAAATGTACTCATTTTTTGTGTTTTTCGTTTTCTTTGCATTTTATGAGATTGTTTCCAAAAGTGACATCAGAGTCCAATGCTCACTCTTGAATATTGCATCGAAGATGATGGTAAGTGCAAAGTTTGGTGTGACGAGAAGAAAGTTTTAATATTTGGCGGAGTATCGTTCTAGTAGTACAAGAACTTTATAAGGCTCTATAGAGTAGCCATAAAGGGATGAAAGTGTAGATTAGGAAGAATTGAGAGTCAAGACAGTTAGTGCCAAGAAGATTTGTGTGTCTAAGAGTTTGTTTGGTACAGTTTAAAAGTCAATTAAAATCAATTTTTTGACCATTATTTTACTATTTTAGTCGTTATTTTTAAATTATTCTCTCACAGGTAGGACCTACTTTATCTCTAACGGTTAAAAAATTAATTATCAAACATATAACTTATATTTGAAAAACGAGGATACAAATTTTATGGATCATCTAAGTTTAATAAGTGGTGGACTTTTTCCTCATGAGAAAGGGCCCGTCTTTGGAATTGATTTCTGCGTGACTGAGTTGCTTCATGCCGATGTCAAGATTGAAGATGAAGACAAGGCGATTATTTTGTTAACTTCCTAGCCTAGTATCAAACATTGGTGACCACTTTATTAGTTGGAAAATTTACTTTAGTGGAGAATGAGGTTTCGAATACTTTCTTATCGACAACCAACATTAAAAAGCTACAGGTAAGTGAATGGAGACCGAGTTCTATTGGGCGAGGAAGAAATTATAGTGACATAATTTGCATATTCCAAAATTGAAGCAAAGTTTTATACCATTGGGAGCATTAGACACATTGGATTATGAATGTATTGACAGAATTGGTTAAATAACTGTAAAGAAAAATTCATTGGAGATAATGAAATGGAAAAAGGTTGATGATTTGTACAGACTAATTGGGAAGTCTGTTTTAGATGGATCTGCCATGTCGGAGTCACACAAAGAAAAGTCTTCTAGCATTTTTGTCAAGTATTGTGAAGTAGCTAAGACGCATCTGCTAATAACAAGAAGAATGAAGATCGAAATTCAAAGATGTCAGTTCGATGAATCTTTGAATTCAATTCATATATACTAAAATTCATTGGACTATAGTGGCACCAGCATATGAAAATGTACTAAGACGCATGATTTGAATAATTTGAGTCATTGATGGGAATTGTTACTCTGGCTCATAATTTTGCTAAAGTCAAGTCACCATCCAACGAGTTGATTAAATGTGCCATGCTAGGTATCAAGTGGGTTACTCTTAGATATGGGTTTGAATTTAATTATGGCCCAAATTCTATGCATTGATTAAGGAAAAGGAAACATAATTGGATTAGATTTTGAGAAAAAGGTGCACGACAAAAGAGAACATTTAGCAACCACAGAAATTGAAGAAAACGAGCGTGCTTACGTGTGAGTTGAAAAGAGAAAATTAGAAAACAAGGTAACAGCGAATTTGCACAGTACGTTTTTGATTAAATTTTTGTAGATAAAAGTTGTCCTAGACTTCTACATTAATGATGTGGTCAACAAATCTCAGTTCCATTCATGTTCGCGAGTATGGCTCTTACATACTTGTACAAACCATAAGAAGCACGTGACTTTCTCCTAAAGTAGAGAACGTGATCACAAACACTCCAACAGTCAAGTCAATCAACTTGTATAGATATATTTGAGTGCATGATAGATGAAAGACGTGGGCCACATTAGTGTATGGACATCAATGTTTACAAGACAGCAACATTATTAAAGGAGGAAAAATTACATTACTTTCAAATGACATTAGCATTTTTCTCAAGTATTGCTTAGTGGTTTCTTTGACTAAAAGGGTAGAGACTTTTGACAATTACCAATAACTACAGAGGCCTTTAAGGCGGTCAAAAAAAAATTGTTGAACTAAAGGCTCAGGTGGGGGGTCTGGGGACTTAGGTTACGGGCCCTACTGAAGAGGTTGAGGAGCTGAGGTCTGAGCTTCAAATGTCTGGAAAGCACGCGATGAAGTCCTATATTGCCAACTTTCACTTCTCTAAGGCGCATGCAAGCTTCATATCCTATCGGCGGAGGTTTGGTGCTAGATAGAATTGATGAGCACTATCTCGAGCTCAACACTTTTGGTTTGAGATCGAATTTTTCGAGGAAAAGCCCCAGACCCCAGCTGAGACCCTATGTCAAAAGAAGTCATGGATGACGTTGAAGCATCAAATACTAAGACGAAGGCTGAGGCCTTCAATATAGAATTTCCTGTTGATGCTTCAATTGAAGAAGCGCTACCTCCACAACCTTAGTTTTGTAGGACATGCTTTTTGTAATTTGGCTGATGCCATTTTTGTACTACATCCTTATTATTAATTATGATTCTTCTTCTTCTTCTTCATTATATATATATATATATATTGTGCAATATGTTTGTACAAGTATTTCTGCTTCATCTTAACAACACATCTTGGGATATCCTTTGTTTTATAAAATGCTAAGTAAATATGTTTCGCTCAACCATTCGGTGAATTTTAAATTGCTAACACGTTTCATGCAACTACATCACCGCTTCGTCTTAATAGGGTTAGCGAAGCGTTGAAATGATGTGTGGCTTAGATTTTAGATGTGAACCTTATCTTTGAGTTATCCTACCTCTTGTATCAAAGCGGTCACACTTCTTGGATGGTTCATCCATGTAAGGGTTTTCCCATGATGGATTCTTCGTAAAAGGCTTATGAGGTCATCTTTGTAGGTTTCAAGGTAAACTCCCTTTGGGCTATTTCACCTTTCCCGTATGCTTATCCTAGCATGGTGGATTGCTTATTCATGGGAGGTATCATGACGAAGTAAAAACACTAGGTAATAAAATTCATTGCATTGAATAAAATGTTTTTACATTATAAATTATTACTTGTGAACTTTCCCTTTATTTTTTAAATTATCATCAATGAAAACTTTCATTATTAATCTTAAATTATTAATTTGTTACTTATGAACTTTTCCTTCACATTTTTTCCATTTTATTTAGCGATAAATATTTTGTATGTAAATTGAATTAATTAATATTTATTTCATTTATTATCGACAGAAAAACTCATTCAAGATTCCAATATTAAAATTAATTAGAATATAAATTCTTAATATTTAGAAGTCTTGTCTAAATATAGGTACAATCTAGAAGTGTATAGTTTTACAAAATAATTTAAAATCCTAATATTTGAAAGGTAAAATTCTTTAGAATATGTGAATTTTATCGGCGAAGCTAGCTTTCTTTCTCAACCTGCATTATAGGTTAGCTGGGCTACGAACTACTACAAGGATTAGATGGAAAATACACACTCCCATATTATTTAACGTCCCATTTTAATAATCAATCTCTAAGGTTTAAAATACCATAAAAATCTTAAAAATAGGAGTTATTTAATTACAAGAAATCAGAAATTGAATTCATTATACGATCTATACAATTTTTTTAAATAAATCAGGTGTACACTAACACACACACACACACACTCTCTCTCTCTCTCTCTCTCTACATTTCAAAAAATGTCTTCTCCTCTCTACATTCATACATATACCTCTCTCTCTCTTCTATACCTACTGTTGAATCACCGTCCCTAGTCGCGTCCATTGTTGGCCGCCAACACCCCACCTCTCCTGACTGCGACTCCAGTTCTCTCTCCATCATCAAACCATGACTCCACTTCTCTTTCAATCGCTAGACTGCGACTCCATCTCCGTATTAGAACTAAAATGAAATGAAAACCATTTGACTGTTATTCATCCAAGTGACTGAAAACGAGTATACATATACAGTATAAATAGGCGCCAAAAGAAGAGAAAAGAAAACAGCTGTCATAACTAACTTCCAGTTGGTAAAACTAACTACCTAACTTGCTAACTAACTCCTATATAAAATGTGTTTTGGTTCTAATAATCAGCCACTATGATTCCACCTTTTTCTCCGTTGCCAGACTGTGACTCCACTTATCTCTTCATCGCCAATCACGCAGAACCCCACCGCCTCCCAAATTTTCCTCTCTTAACCGTTCCCTAAATTCGATAAAAATGTGTGAGTACGTTTGACCATGCTTAAAAGTTGCTAAAAAAAAATGCTTTTAGGGAAGTATGTAGATTTGCAAAAAGGTAGCTAAAAAAGCTACTTTTCATGTGAAATAGTTCTCTTCTCCCTGTTTTTATATTATGTTGACCTTAAAAAATGTATCTCCAAGTGGCCAACAGATTCCGAAACTTCTCACGTCTAAACAAGCCATAAACTAGCACACTAGAACAAACCGTTAGATACACAAGGCCTTTTTCGGTGGGGGTGGAGTCAGCCGCGTGTGCTCCGATGGTCAAGTTAGTGGGAGAAGAGGTGTATTAAGTGTGGGAGAGCTCTTAACGTGAATCTCAATATAAAATAAAGAGGGTCGGTTTCCGAGAAGATAGTGAATATAGAGCAAAGTTATAAGGAATCAGAGTCTAAACTTGCATTAGTTACCTCTCAATGGCACTAAGTGTGAGATTTTATAGTATGGGATAGTGAGTGAGGACCGTCAGATGAGAAGACACGTGGCCTCATCCATGTGGGCATAACCTCCCATCATGGGAATCAATCAATCATAAGACGTGAATGGTAATACCAACTTACCTTTCAGAATTCATAGCTTGCGGCCATAGATTCAACCAAAAAAGATGCCTGTGGCAACGGTATCAGGGCGTAGTCAAATCAATCGCGTCATTAGAATTGATTTAGAGGATCTTTTGTCAATCAATCTCTTTTGGCGTCGCCCCTCTGGTTGGGTCTCCTACATGACGATTCATCCCTAAAGGAGCTCGTCCCTATGGGTTCGGATGTTATGAGATCGGACAGAACGTGGGTTCGATCATAAGGAGCTCGTCCCTAGGGGTTTAGTTGGAAGAATATCCCACGCGGTCGTCTTCGTGGGTCCGCCTGCCACGTGGCATGAGTTTGGGTCATGTGAAAAAAGGGTATAACAATAGTCCCCGAAATCCAAGTATGAATATTCATATACTGCGTGGACTTGAAAAGAAAGAGAGGAAAAAGAATATCTATATAACAATGGTCCCTGAAGTCCAAGTATGGATATTTATATAATTCATGGACTTGAAAAGAGGAAAAAGAGTACCTGTATAACAATAGTCCCCGAAATTCAAGTATGGATATTCATATAGTGCGTCGACTTAAAAAAAAAAAAGAGGAAAAAGAGTATTTGTACAAGAATAGTCCCCGAAGTCCAAGTATGGTTATTCATATAGTGGCGTCAATCTATTGACCTCAAAAAATGTATCTCCAGGTGACTAACAGATCCCGAAACCTCTTATGTCCAAACAAGCCGTAAACCTGCACACTAGGACAAATTGTTAGACACACATGGCCTTTTTCAGGTGAGGGTGGAGCCAATCGCGTGTACTCCGACTGTCAAGTCAGTGGAGGAAGAGGTGTATTAAGTGTGGGAGAGCTCTTAACATAAGTCCCAATATAAAATAAAGGGGGTCAATTTCCGGGAAGATGGTGAATATAGAGCAAAGTTATAAGGAATCAGAGTCTAAACTTGCTTTATCTCTTAATAACACTAAGTATGAGTTTTTATAGCATGGGATAATGAGTGAGGATCGTTAGATGAGAAGACACGTGGCCTCATCCATGTGAGTATAACCTCCCATCATGGGAATCAATCAATCATAAGACTTAAATGGTAATACCAACTTGCCTTTCAAAATTTATAGCTTGCGGCCATAGATTCAACCAAACATGTTGACTATGGCGGCGGTGTCAGGGAGTAATCAAATCAATTGCGTCACTAGAATTGACTTAGAGGATCTTCTGTCAATCAATCTCTTTTGACGTCATCCCTCTAGTTGGGGCTCCTGCATGATGATTCATCCCTAAAGGAGCTCGTCCTTAGGGGTTCAGATGTTATGAGGTCGGACAGAACGTGGGTTCGATCATAAGGAGCTCGTCCCTATGGGTTCGGCTAGAAGAATATCCCACGCGGTCGTCTTCGTGGGTCCACGTGGCATGAGTTTGGGTCTTGTCGGAAATGGGTATAACAATAGTCCCCGAAATCCAAGTATGGATATTCATATAGTGCGTGGACTTGAAAAAAAAGGAGAGGAAAAAGAGTATCTGTATAACATATTCCTTCTGTGAGAGATGGATTATGGGGTTAATTTGTAACCTAAAGAAGTTTTTTCTGCCATCCCAAGAAAGAGATAATATCAAAAATTTCTTAAGTTTCTCGATGCAATTTGATTCAAATGAGGATCCTAAGATTGCAGAAATACCACATGTGAGAATATGTAAAATAGATTAGAATTCAATCTAAGATAGATTTTGAAAATTTCTTCTATTTCTTGCCATTTTTAATGTCTTAGTTGCTTGCTTTCCATGTCGTCCTTAGAGTGATCTCGTACTTGAGCTCTATACTTTTTGTAAGTGGATTCCGCTCATCAAGTTCTTATTCGATCTGCAGCTTAGAACCCCACGCTATTCATCTCGATTAGTTGATATCATTTTATTTACGAGAGGCCGGAATTGAATAAAAGAAACGAAACCTGTTTTTCAAATTATTAGCTAATGATTTCATGTTTCTTCAGAATCTATCTAGAAGACGGAAAGATTGCCTTCAGTTATAAGAACCAATAATCAAACTAGTTAAAAACCAGATCTGCCACGTTTGTCTGCCCAATTCCTCATTTTAGGGGGAAAAAGACACTGCATCAAGTGACGCTAATAATAGAATATAAGTAGAAAACTACATCGGATTCTAATGTTCTTTCCTACAATATTTCCCGTATAAATAACTCACTACAAACGTCCCTGATCTCTTTTCCACTCGCAGCTCATAGGGCTTGCAATATGTGCGCTTTGTGACTAATTTTGTAATAGTGATCCATAATTTATGTCTTAGTGACGCGACATTTCAATAAATAATGTGACCTAAAAAATGTATGATTTGCAATTAAATTTGTTATTGTAACTTATAATTTATATCTTTGTGACTGTGACCTTATACGATTTGTGACTACTGCATGATTATAAATATAAACTGTGTTTGATTGTGATCACAACCCAATTAATTAAATTATAGATCACAAACTTTTGTCAGGAATCACAAAATGTGACCAATCTTTTATTAGGGATCATAAAACTGATCACCTAATTTTTGATAAAAAAAAAAAAAAATCCACATATTTAATGTTTTTTTAAAAATGTAACTTGAAATATTAGTATTTATATAATTTTCCCAGAATTATATGAGGTAATGAGGATGTCGAGTATTGTTGAAAAAGTAAATGCAGAAACCGAATTTTCTATGCCGTTTGCTAACTGCTAGCCAATTAGGAATGTTGAAATTATCCATGTTAGTTCTTGGAAAAATAGATATGTCCCACTGTTTCTAGATGTACTCGTTTGCGCCTTGTATCACAATGGAATCTATGAACTTCACACGCAGAGACTTGACGCTATATAACACTCACCATCATCACAGCCTTTTCCCATAATCTTATGTGACTACTTCAGATACACACATCAAAAGAAATATCAAATTATATCAAAGTTCGACTTCTACATTACATTAGAAGAGCTATGAACAAATATGATCAACACGAAGCTTCTGGTAAGCATTACATCAACTTTGTTTCCTTCGTCTTCTTAAGTAAATTTCAAAAAAAAAACTTGACTCTGCGAGGCTTGCTTTAGTTTCTAATGGTTGTTCTACCCTGATAATTAATTTGAACCGTCTTAACAGTTGCATATCCAGCACCACCACCTTCATATCCTCCGGGAACACAAGGTAACCTTGATGGCCCATATGTGATGGCACCTCCACCAGTGGGTTATCCTACAAAGGATGGTGATAATAAAGGGAATGCCCCTGTAGAGACGACAACCAGAGGCGATGGCTTCTTGAAAGGATGGTAAGATTTCTAATTCTTGACTGTGATAATCTATAGGCAGTCTATCTTGAAACCACGTTTCCTAATTTTGCAACGATTGTTCTTTCAGTCTTGCCGGTCTTTGCTGCTGCTGGTGCCTGGATATTTGCTTTTGATGACGACAAAAGACCATTCTTTCCTTATTTGGGCTATGTAATACCTGTTGTGCTCTACGTAGTGTTCATTTCATTATTTTACACTAGTCATAAATTTAAAATAATTCATAATTTCCAAGTATGTTTTTTCTAAGTAGACGCGAGGAAATCTGTTCTCTACAAGGCTCCAGCAATTTGGTTGCAGTTCTTGTACATTTTCTCATTGAACATGATTATAAAAGGAGTAACTTGGAGTTCTCTCTATAACGTAGAGCTTGTTCCAAAAAAATTTAAGAAGTTTACGATGCAAGTAACATCTGGGACACTGAGAAGTCCCTCTTTGGTTTAAAAATAGGAGCAGGATTAATTTAAGATGCCTGCTGTGAAATTCATTAGACTTTTTCTAACAGGCTACCAGGCGAACCCCGGGAGCCGCCCACTTCCAACCCTAAGCATCACACCAACCACCAACCCTCCGACCCCAAAATCACACAACTCAAGTCCCTCAAAAGCAATAATATCTTAAGATTGTCACATATCAAGTAATATAAATCCAAATTTAGAGAGAGATGGTAGAGTTTCCACACAAACACAACTGTTACCTGCTAAACTCGGCTGCGTATCATAATGGAAAAACCACAAGTACGGGGTTTTCCCTACGGGTGATCGGCAGTTTTCATTTCTTTTTTTTCCCATCTGCCAATGAGAAATGGACAGTTGGTTACCTTTACAAAGCCTGTGAAACTTTCCTTGTATATGTAACAAGACTCATCATAAAACCATAATTTGATAAATACAAATTTTACAGATGTACGCATAATATCATACATGTTCTTAGAAAGTAATATCTTGGTGCAATAATTTCTTAATTAAATAGTTTGATAAAAATTGCTAATATGCAACGTGATTAGGTAAAATGGTAATCTCAGAACAATCTGAATCCCTTGGTAAAGGAAAACCGAGATATGTAACGTCAGGAACGATTGAATACAATATCCTCAATTACTGCTCCAATTTCAAACTATAGAACTTATCATTTGACATGCTCAAAACATTAAACAGCATAATAAGATCAAGGAGCCACTGGGCATTTCCCACAGCAGTAAAAAGATGTAATGCACATTGAAATACCAGTAGGACGACTATACCTAAACGTGCTCACACATATAAAATCATTGTCAAATCACATATAGACATTCGCACGAGGAAAAAGAAGAAAAATGAGAAGGCCAAGTGCAAATTTGTACAGCAAAAACTATTATCCAGACATCCTTCACCACAAAATTAGGCACATGATTATGCTAAGCAATTAAAATTAAAACCATAAACCCGAACCAAATAGTTACAATGAGCATCATCAAACTGGGCAAAAACCAATTATAGAAATGATACTTGAGAAAAGGCCATTCTTAGCCTCAATTAAACTAGATTTAGCATCAATGTTATCAAAAGTAATCTCGTTTAACCCTTTGAACAAAAATCACATAACATGATGAGTAAACAAAAATATAATCCAAATTCAATGTAATCATTATTCATTTAATCCGCCTTAAAACCTGAGCTTAGAGAAAAACCACCGGTTCTTGCCAGTCTTAATCCGCTCCTCGAACCGTGCCTTAATCTCCTTGCAAGAGGTGATTTTCTTATCACGCGAGACGAGCGCATCGGTGCTAACAATATTGAATATCCTTGAGGTCAACGTCGAGCGTGTAGCGCGTGGGCCTAACATGGTTGTAGTTCACGACCTTGACAAAAGCCTTCACGCGCGATTTCTAGGCCTACTTCTTGGCGGAGTCTTTACGGATAACCTTGCTGGGATACTAGGCTATGCCGGCAAAAAGGCAGTGGCCGTAGGGGCGGTCACGCGTGCCGTCGTTTAAGTTTTTAATAATGGTGGCTTTGTGCCCGGCGAAACGGCCCTGTAGGAGCACCACGGCCTCGTTTGGTTTCAAAAATTTCACCATTTTCAGCTAGATTTGCGTGGGTACAGGTACGAGGAAATACCTTTCAATAGCCTAAAAATAATGACAATTTGTAAGATTAGGCTAAGAAATGAAAACATTTGGAAAATAGACTTCAAACAATAATCTTTTCAAAAATACCCCCTTATAGAAAAATTGCAATCAAAGCCACCACAATGTATAAAAACCTTCAAATAGGTCCCCAAAGAAATATAGATCATAAATCTTTAATAAATTTAAATTCAAATATTATAAAAAAATTTATTAATCTAAAAAATGCAACAGAAAATGAATTAAAATATTTAGAAGAAGATCTGAAATCATTCTTTACAGAATAGTTAGATCCAAAATTAAAAAATAAAAATATTTTTATAGATAATAATATAATCAAAACAGAAAATGATATATATAAACTGATTCTTAACCTAAGAAAAAGAATTAGAGATTTAAATATAATTATTGAAGAAAAAGTTTTAATAAAAAATAGTGAATTTTACAAATTTTATTGTGACATTTTAGATACTTATAAAGATTTTAACTGGAGTAAAAGTTTTAACCCCTCTGCTGCACACTCCGATGAAATGGTATCAGAGCCATGTTGCGAATCAAAAATTATGATGAATATAGTAGATGAAGAAAATATAATAGAAGAATTTTTGAAAAAAGTTAAAAAAACATAAAAAATATAGTTATCCCTATTTACCTAAAAATACTACAAATGAAAGTTTTGAGAATATACATAAAAGATTAGAAAATCTAGAACATAATTTACAAGTATGAAATGATTTATTAGATAAAAATCTTAAAGGGAAAGATAGGATTATAATTAATCCGCCTCAAGATTTTAGGATAATTCAAAAGGAAAATAATAAAGGGAAAAAAACATGAAGAAAAACAATATATGATTACAGATGTAGAAGAGATAGAACAAAAATTCTTAGAATTTATAGGTGAAGAGTATGAAGAATATAAAAAACAGTTAGAAGAATTAACTGAAAAAATGAAAAATACAAAGATGAATATTAATTCATCTTCTAGTCAAAATATAAAAGTAGAATTTAGTAGTGATGAAAAACAAAATTATCCTTATGGTACCCCAATACCTGATAAGGCTGATATTAATCAATATAGAAAAACACAGAAAAGATATACTGGAAATGTAAGAAAACAATTCATAAAAGAAATAAATCCAATGAAGTCCTACAATGAACCAATCCACACGACAGGAGTATGGTTAGATTTAGATTGTGTAGATAAAAGTAAAGCTATTGAAACATGGATGAAAAGTACAAATTTAGTAATACAATTTAATAAATGGGAAACATATACAGCTTTTGAATTTATAGAACATACATTCAGAGGAATTGTTTCTGAATGGTGAAGAAAGTTACCAGAAATTATTAAAGGAAGAATAAAATATGGAGCAAATAGAATTGAGGTATTAGATAATAGAAATACTCTAAATGAACAAAATATACAGGAAATATTAAAAAGATTTGAAAAAATCTTAAGAACAGAATTCTTAGGAGATAGGTATACTTCTAATGAAGAAGAAAGAAAACAGGATGAATATAATCAAGGAATGATTGCAATGGAAAATTTAAAGATATGTGATATTTGTGAATTAGAAAGATACACATGTAAGTTTGAAGAATTATATTATATATTAAATCAAGGAGATTATCAGAAAAACAAACCTATATTAAGATATTATTTTACAAAATTACCATTCCCATGGGGAATCAAGCTATTAAAAGAATATGAGAAATTATTACCTCTAGGAGAAGAGGAAGGAGTTAAAATAGATAGTCTTGGAAGTAGAATTGAATTTACAAGAAGAATGATAGGTATGTGGTGCAAAAAAGCACTAGAAAATAAGAAGGCTTATAAAATAAGAAAAAATTCATTATATTGTTATAAAGATAATGGCCAAGTTGAAAAATTTGGACGCCATAAGAAGAAATATAAACCATATAAGAAATATAAAAGAAAATTCAAAAATTAAAAAAAATTCTATAAAAGGAATTTTAAACCACATAAAAAATATTTCAAGAAAAGAAATTGGAATAAGAAATTTAAACCAAGAAATATTAAAAAATGTAGATGTTTTATTTGTAATGAAGAAGGACACATTGCCCATCAAGGTCCTAAAAAGAAAAATAGACAAAATATAAAAACTCTTAGAATTTATGAAAAAATTCAAGAAGATAGTGATATAGAACCAATTGAATATTTTGAAGACTTAAGTAGTGAATGCAGTAGTATTTTTGAATTAGATACATCCTCATTAGAGGAAGATTATGAGGAAATAGTATATATGAATCAAGAGATACAACAATCAGAAATAGAAATTGAAACAACTGAAAAAGTTGAAGATTCTATAGAAGGAATTAATCAAGAGATTACCTTTGATATTAAAAAATACGCAGGAATTACTAAAAAGATATTAGATCTACAGGAAAAAGATGTATTCCATCAAAAATTCTTAGGAATTTTACCGAGAGTAAATAAAACAATTGTAAGCATGAATTATAAAGAAATGTCCATCAATATAGAAGACACTATAGGAAAAGCAAGAATTCCTATAATAACAAAAGAATAGGTAAAATAAAAGCTATCCAAAATCTCAGAAAACGTAAGAAACAAATTAAAATGTATTGAATTAGGAGGAGTCCAAATAATAGTAAAAGGATTCTTTAGAGAAGGTATGAATATACCAATAGAAATATACTGTATGGACAATAGAATCTTACAAGATCCTATAGATGCTCTATTAGGAACAGTTGTAGGAAACTTAGTCTATCAGAAGATAATATTTACAGTAAAACCAAATTATGCAATATCATTGAATTATGAAAATATTGATCAGAGTTTCAATCTATATTATAGAATTGGAAATTTGAAAATGTTAAGAAGAAGTAAGGCTATTAGTATTAGTATAAAATCAAATTTTGCCTTTAGTACCAGTCATCATAACAATCTAAGGAAAATAACTGATACCATTATCATAAATAAAGATTTTGAGGAATTAGCACAATATATACCTCCTAGAAAATACCAAGAAAATGAAATAACGATACCAGAACAAATAATGCTTGATTTTCATAAACAAGCAAAAGAAATTAATTCTGAAGGAAAATTAATAAGAAGAAATAGTGTAAGCTTAGAAGGAGACAATCTTATTGCAAGATTTTCCTCTAGACAAGACTCTAGGATAAGCAGACTTAAGAATTTAAGTACTACTGAACCATCAAACTCACAATATTACATTAAGACAAGATATGTAAACCAAGAAGGGTTTAAGAAGAATCTTCTTGTCCTCATAGATACTGTAGCAGATAAAAGCCATGTAAATGTCAAGTTTGTTAATCATTTAATAGACTTTGAAATACCAGAATCATATATATTTAAAGATTATTTGGGAAATAATCTTGAAATAAGAAAATATGTTAAATTCCCTCTTATACTTGTAGGAGAGGATCAGAAAGAATATATTAAAAAAATTTATATAAAGATGAGTTATATGGAGTAGATCGTTCACCTATTCTGCTAGGAATGAACTTTCTTGAGAAATATAGTTCTTATAAAATCTGTCAAGGATATTTGAAAATAACAGTTGAGATTGATCCAATTATCATTTCAAGAATAGATGAAAATATGAAATCATTATTATCATGGAAAGAATAATTAGTACTAATCCCATGAGTCCATATATTGAAACTACACTCAATA